ATAGAAACCCGTGGTTTGTCAAATGGTTTTATCTGTTGCGATAACCAAAATAATTAAATATGTCCATAATCGTTGCATCACCACAATTGTCACCCAAGTGTGGTCTTTTGCTGGGCCTGGCAACCTTGTCGGTTTGAGAACCACAGCTTATTGTTTTCAAATCAGGCCTTCCCTTCGGATGCGCTTTCCGCTTGAGTGCCAGTTTCACACAATTAGCAACCACATGGCCAGGCTTGTGGCAAAAGAAACACAGTTTGGCCCTAGATCTTAAAACCACAACTGCATTATCCTTGTTAGCTGGCCCACTCTTACCTCTCCAATATGTACTATGGCGCAGAGGGAAATCACATTCTACAGCATTTTTTTTATGAGTCAGCTTAAACTCATCTAGTACCATCTGACAAAATTGAACTTGCCATTCAAAAGACCCTTGGTTGTTGTCCTGGTTCCATGACCCAGTGTTTATGTATTTGGATCTAGATACAAGTTATTTGTATCTAGAATTGATGTAAATTGAGTTACTACCACAGTACATTTGGTCTCAAATACCACTTGCTAGTCAAGCACATAGCTGATGCAGAAAGCCCTCCTCCTCACCAAAGGTAGACTGTGCTGGATAGCTTTCAAAGGAGAAGTCAGAGCAATTTTACAAATGACAAACTTTCAACAGGGGCACACTTCAACTTGCAGGCTTATCAACATTGTGGAGAATGAGGAGCTTCTCAAATAGCGTCCAATGACTACACTGTTAGCCTTTGCAGTAATTTCCATAGCTTAGTACTGCAAAATCAACAGTAAAAAAAAAACTCTAAAGGATGTTTGCAGTTTAGTACTGTAATTTACATGTCATTGTGGGAAAATTCCATGAGATTACATTATTTTTACCGTCTCTCACCGTACTCATGGAAACAGCTGTAAAATACAGCAAATGTAACAATTGGTGATGTTACTGAGATTATACTATTACACCATCTGGATTTCTGTTGTTTTCTACTGTAGATCTAAGAGTAATTACTGAAATCCTCATTCAGAGTGTATTACCATAAAATGCAATTCATTGTGAGAGTAGTATGACATATAACCTACAATATGCAGCATCATTTTTACTCAAGGAGTAAGTTACAGCTACACCAAAATGGAATTTCTTGAATTGAAACTTATATATTAATTAATTTATTTGTTTATTCAAACAATGTGAACCGCAATTACAGTCCAATTTGTATCAAACAACCAGTCTCACCCATACAAAAAAGAATATTCAAGTATATTATAAGTATACTTTAAAAACTAGAAAACAAGCAATTATACTTTTAGTTTACTTGGTATGTACTTTTAAGCATACTTTAAGTAGTTAGAAGTATACAGAAAAGTATAAGTACATTTAGTCTATACTTGTAGTATAGTAGTGCTTGTTGTATACTATGTAGTATGTAGTTTATTTGAAGTATACCTGAAGTATACTATGAAGTACAAAAAAATACCAAGCATGCATTGCAGTGGTTTAACTGTGAAATTTAAACAACTATGAAACAAATTATTGATGTTTTAAAACAAGAATTTCTTGTGGAATGTCTTTTACCTTTTGAACAGAGTAAGTGGGGTAAATCATTTAAAAAAATTAAATTGTTCAAACTGTGAGTGAAAAGGGGAAAATAGTTAATAAACCTCAACTCTCAAATAATTTTCTCACCTGTTTTCAGTATAATTCTGGTACTTGAACTATGAGTGTAGTTCTCTGCAAAGGAAGCTTTCTGATAGTGGGAACTGTTATCCGGCTGTATGGGGAATGAAGGGATTTGTTACATGTGAAAAATAAGTTTCAACTGCATTTTAATTACTATGTTTCAAATATAAACTAAAAAGTAAATTAATAATATACTTGTAAGGTTATTATTGTGTTAGAGTAGAGTATATTTTAAGTATGCTCTTATAGACTGGAAAGGACATTATGCTAGTACATTTATAGTGAACAAAATGTAAATCTAAAAGTTAATTTCAAGTATACTTTTATATACTAAAACGGGGGCCAATACAGTCCCAGGAAGCATTAGTATACTTACTAGGTAACGTAAACTTAGGAAATATACTTGAAGTATACTTCATGATATGAAGTTAAAGTATTCTTATTTTTTG